CACACACACACACACATGTATATATTTAAGAAATATTTACATATACACTGCTGTTTAAAAGTTTGGGATCAGTAAGATTTGTAATGTTTTTTAAAGAAGTCTCATCAAGGCTGCATTTATTTGATCAGAAATATAGAAAAAACAGTAATATTGTAAAATATTTTTACCATTTAAAATAATGGTTTTCTATTTTAATATACTTTAAACTGTAATGTATTTCTGTGATGCGCAGCTGTATTTTCAGCATAATTACTCCAGTCTTCAGTGTCACATGATCTTCAGAAATCAGTATAATATGCTGATTTATTATCAATGTTAGAAACAGTTCTTGCAGCTTAATATTTTTTGGGGAAACTGTGATACTTTTTTCAGGATTATTTGATGAATAAAGTTAAAAAGAACTCTTTTCTAACAACATAAGTCTTTATTATCACTTTTTAAATTTATTTATCAATTTAACACATCCTTGCTGAATAAAAGCATTCCTTTCTTTAAAAAAATTAAAAATAAAATAAAAATACTGACCCAAAACTTTTGAACAGTTGTGAATATTGATACAAAAGACTTTTATTTTGAATAAATGCTCTTCTTTTTAATATTTTATTCATCAAAGAATCCTGAAAAAAGTATCACACGTGTGCATTTATATATACATATAAATATACACAGTGCACACACATTATGTAAACACAAACTTTTATTTTGGATGCGATTAATCGATTTGACAGCACTAATTATCATTAGATGGACGTTTGTTCATAACTCTGGGAGTTCATATCTTTGGGTTCTTACCATAAAGGCATCATTTGTCACGTGACTGAATCAAAATCGTTCATGAACGACTCTTTTATACATTTAAACCATTTTAGACAGACGAGATTTTTTTTTTTGGACGTTTTTGCGTGTCTTATGTTGTAAAGTTTGAAAATAAAAAAAAGATTAATGTAATATTACTGTCTTTACCCCTCCAGTAGGAATTCAGTGTCGTGGCAGAAAAACCAGTTTATCCCTGCTAATTGTTTTATCACAATAAACAACATTTTGTGTGACTGGAATAATAAACAAGAGTTGAGCTCAGGATAAATATTACGTGACGACGACGTAACCTTCCCGGATATGAACCTAATTAATAGCGACACGCCTACCTCGTAGTCAAGAGCGCCCACTGGCTGCGTGTGACGCACGCGTCATTAATATTCATGAGCCACGCCTCCGCCGGCAAATCGCCGCGTGACGTCACCGCCGCCGTCCGCGGAGAGCGACTTGATTCAAACGCGCGCACGGAGCGTCCCTCTGCGGCAGCGAGCGACTGAAGGTCAGAGAGAGAGAGAGAGACCGCACTGATAACCGGACCTGAAGGTAAACGGCATTTATAGATCATAACGGTATCATGATGATGATGTGTTCGTGCTCATGAAGGTTAACATTCTGCTGTCAATTGATGATGTGCATCATGTGCCGGTTGCATATTTAGATATTCGCAGTTAATGAAAAGCGTGATGCATATTAATGAATATTGACTGTTGCATCCGCATCAGCCTGCCAGCATCTCGGAGCAGAGCCGCAGAGAGCGCCGCTGCTATATTTATCCGGGCTTTGATGCTGTAAAGCGGGTTTGGCTGATCTGCTGGACTTACATTGTTCCAGCGGGTCATGCGACGGGTGGCTCATCATGTTCACAGACAGATTACAGGATACAGTGATATAAATAAGTGTTATCTAATATTACGGATGCATCTGACTCATGTCTGTTTGACTGTAATTACCCAGCTGACGTTCTCACAGCATTCACTAATGTTAGGACAAAACATTCTTAAAGTCCCCATGAAATCAAAATGAAAGGTTTTTTGGGTGTTAGTATCAATATGTTAGTCTTAAGGTTATCTATAAGGCAGTGTGCTCCAAAACAGTGACACAATTCGCATTTAGAAGATATAAGCATTCAAAGCTTGCAGTTCGTCACTTCCGCCAAAAGGGCTTAACGATTTTTGTGAGTTCACATCGTACTTAAGCTTCTCATCAAACTTTCTGTCCAATCAAATGCTGTCTAGAATCCGAAGCCCCGCCCCCTACACTATACAAGCCGCGGCTGAAATCGGTCACTTGTCCACAGAAGTAGTATTTTCTGTGCAGTGAATGGCACGTAGTGCACTATATAGGGGACAGGGAACGATTCAAACAGTGTAAATATGCTTTCCATTGAGGAAAAAAAGAAAGAGTAACGCTGCGTGTTTCTAAGCATTTCAGGGGACCTTTAAAGTAGCCTAGTGTTTGTGGAACGTTCTCGCAACTTTATTAATATCTGAGATACATTCTCGTAATCATAAAGGAGTAGTTCACTTCCAGAATAAACGTTCCTTGATAATTTACTCGCCCCCATGTCATCCGAGACGTTCATGTCTTTCTGTCTTCAGTCGCAAAGAAATTAAGGTTTTTGAGGAAAGCATTCCAGGATTTTTCTCCATATAATGGACTTCAATGGGGACCAACGGACTGAACGCGTGACCTTTCCAACGTGATTGCGTCATGCGTGAAGTCCAGCTAGTGCAAGACCAGCATTTGTGGTTAAAAACTATATAAATTATTATTATTTTTTTTAAATGAGCGATGGTTTCTCTAGATGAGACTCTTATTCCTCGGCTGGGATCCTGTAGAGCTCTTTGAAGCTGCACTGAAACTGATTCGGACCTTCAGCCCGTTGGTCCCCATTGAAGTCCATTATATAGAGAAAAACCCTGGAATGCTTTGCTTAAAAACCTTCATTTCTTTGCGACTGAAGACAGAAAGACATCTTGGATGACACGAGGGCGAGCAAATTTCTCAAACAACATTCTCAAAACGTCCTTACGATGTTATTTGTACTTCAAAACGTTTTGTTCTCAGAAACGTTTTTGCAACCTTTAAATAACGTTCTAATCATGACACGAAAACTGGACATTTTAATGCTTTCGAAACAATTTTTATAATCTAAATTTGTTACCTGGGTTCCCAGCGAACAGGGAGTTATGAACAAACGTTCTTCCAGTAACATTAATAATAGAACGTTCACAGTGTCTTAAAGGGGTCATCGGATGCTACATGCACTTTTACAAGTAGTTTGAACTGAAATGTGTTGGCAGTGTGTGTACACAACCACCCTATAATGATAAAAATCCACCCAGTGTTTTTTTTTAAATCTCGTTAAATAATTTCCCCTTTCTCAAATCGAGCCGATCTCAGATGCATGAAGGGAATGCGCCCCCGATCTACATAAATGTGTTTATGTTTGCGCAAATCGTTCGTGATCCAGCTTCATCTACAGAAGACGTGAGTATAATGTTTTGTAATGAATCTTTGCAAATCGTCACGGAACGTTTTTCCTGAAACCTTTTAATCGTCTGAGGTTTTTTAAACGTTACTGCTTGAGACCATTCAGAGAACAATCAAAAGTAACGTTCCCATAACACAAAATTCGCGTTAAAAGACAGTATAAGTCATTATAAGCAGTCTCCACTGGATGCAACAAATGCCTCGTTTGTAATGGGTTTTATTGGTTTTGTCTCGTCGCTCCGGGACACAGCATCACAATATGGTAAGGGGCGTAACATTTCCGTCACACGCTTGAGGTATTCAGCCAATCACGACGCACTGTATAGCTGGCCAATCAGCGTATACCTCGCTTTTCAGAACGATGAGCTT